AACTCATAATATTATGTTTTTGGGGGGTTTTTTTGCCAAAGAAAAAAGGAGGGGAAAGTAAAAAAAAAAGTAAAGTGACTCATAATTAAATGTTATTTTTTTTCATAGAGAAAAACAGGCAAAAAAGTAAAAATTAAAAATGTAAAGTGATAGTACGCAAATGATCAAATAGACAAAAGAAAGAAAAGGAAAGGAAAAACACAAATACAAGAACACTAAATGAAATAAACTACCATAAATACACCCCATTGAAAAAAAATATATATATATAATTTTTTACATTTTTTTTCTTTCAAGAATAATTTATCTAAGCCGCTCAATGGCCGTTCCCTATAAGAAAATTAACACTTAATAAATAAAGGGAAAAAAAAAGAATAGATTTAATTTTGTTCTGAAATATTTTATCTAAGTAGCTCAATGAGTGAAATTAGTAAATTTGAAATTTGTATCCTGATGTTGATATATATTACCAGCAACTAGGAAAGAATGATCCTATAGTGATCCCACAGTGGTTCAATAGTGATCCCAGTGATCCCATAGTGGTCCAATCCAGATCTTTGCCAAAAGCAAAAAAAAAAACCTAAAGATCTGGTGATCTGTGGGCAGGGGCTGCTAATAGGCAGGGGAAAAACTCTGTGGTGCCCCCTTTCCCTGTTGCCCCTTCCCTCTGTGCACCCTTCCCTCTGTACACCCTTCCCTTGGTGCCCCCTTTCCTAGGTGTGCCCCTCTCTTGGTCCAGGGGCAGATCAAATGCTCTGAATGCATGTAAATTAGTATTAAAGCATGTACTTTTAAATGCATGGAGACTTGATCTGGGAAGCATAAATGTTAATTTCAACATGTCATTTCTGATGTTATTTGTATGGATGGTCTACACAACATCCATAATGTCACATGAGGTTCCCAAGCTGTTGTGGAACTACAAATCCGTGTATGCCATGGCAAATTTGCCATGCTTTGTAGTTCCAGAATAGCTAGAAGCTACACGCAGGGAAATTGTGGTAAGTGGTATAAGCATCTGAAATATGAAAGGCATGCGGTTATTTGTAGTGCAATCAGAATCTCAAATATCATATACAGAAATGTCACTTACCAGTCATCTTTAGGCTGTGAGCCTCCAGTGGGTCCCCAGACTTCTCTCTCTGTAGGGTGACCTCCCCCTCCTCCTCTCCTGCGGTTGTACCTCTCTCCTGGTCTTCACCTGGGTGCCTGTCTCTGCTTTTACCCCCCAGATCTGCCAGGATGTCCTGGATGAGGAAGGATGTCCGAGGCCGGCTGGTGGTGACAGAAGACATGGTGGCAGGAGTTGTCTGTGACATCCAGGCTGGGTGGCAGCAAACTTTTAGATGAGTTCAGATAGAATGGGAAGACAGCTAGAGGATGCTAGAAGATCTGACAGGGGATCCTATCTGACAGAGGATCCTATTGGTAGAAGATCTGACAGCAGATCCTATGGGTAGAAGACCTGACAGCAGATCCTATGGGTAGAAGATCTGACAGCAGATCCTATGATTAGATCTGGCAGGGGATCCTATGAATAGAAGATCTGACAGCAGATATTTTGGGTAGAAGAACTGACAAGAGATCCTATAGTAAGAATCTCTGACAGCAGATCCCATAGGTAGAGCATCTGACAGGAGATCTTATGAGTAGAAGATCTGGCAGCAGATCATATGGGTAGACTTCATGGGAAGCCTTATAAGTGACAATTCCCTATAATATGTCCCAGATCTGCAGGGCACCGATCCTGTTGTCCTATCTCCGCTGCTGCTTGTCATTCACCTTCACTATCTGCTCTACATATAGCTCCCACGCGCTCATCCATCACTCGCTGATTGGCTGTCTTTACACCCCTTGCCCTCCTTCTGATTGGCTGAGCTCACACCCCTATCCTCCCCTCTGCTGCCCCGAACAGGTAGAGCGGGTCTCGTTCCACCCAGCGGAGGCATGCACTACATCGCTACTGGATTTATATAGTATACACGTCTTTATACATCTATATACCCTCTGCTGATTGCAGCCATGACTCTGCGTGTGCTCAGGCATGCAGATGTACCTGTGTCAGGTGTGTGTAATGTACAGTGTAATATTAATGGAGGGGATGATTGTATCCGCTGATCATGACACTAAGAAGAGGATTATCTTCTCAGCGGTAATTAGCGCTCATTATCTCCCGGTACTGGGACTTCGCTGCTGATTGTGTCAGTAATCCTCCTGTTATTTACTATGTGTTTACACTAACTCTGCTTCCTTTATATAATCATGTCATCCCCAGCATCGGGACAGAGGGGGGTAATGGGACAGAGGGGGGCCATTCACATCCCAAGTGCCTGAAATCCCACATAAAGAGGAGGAACACTGATTGTGGATGCCAATGAGACTGAGATACAGTATAGAGCAATTGTGTTGTAGAATTTGATTGGGAAATGTCTGTGGACAGTGGAAGGCTCTGCCTTTGTAATGGATTTGATTTATTTCCATCTAGTTGCTCTTATTAAGAACATGACAGATGCTTGTACAATCAGGCTCCTGTGCCCATACACCTAATACTGGCCATAGAAGGCTCCAACTTGTTCTGATTCAGGTTGAGCATCACCAAGATCAACAAAAGTCCATTAAAGCTGGCCATGCACTGCAATATTTTCTTCCTTCAACCTGCAAGCTAATCAAAGATTATAACAGATTCCTCTACCAATGCATACAAGTGTCAATCGAGGATTCTCCTGATGTCTTTAGACCCCATTCACACTTAGCTACAACAAAATAAGCTCTTTTTCAGTACTTATTTGAGCTAATTGACTTTGAACTCCAGTGCACATTTTGTCGTGCTACCAAGTGCGCTTCTTTTGGCAGTCTATCAAAGCCCATTGGAGCCAAATCGCTCGAAATCTGCAGAAAAATAGGTCATGTTCAAGTGACAAGCTTCAGCTACAAGCTACATGCGACATTAAGCTGCAAGATGTGAACATCTCAATTGAAATGCATTGGAAGATCTACACTGAGCTTCATATTTGAGTGATTTATGAGCGGAAATCGCGCTATAGGTTGGACTTGATGGACTAATGTCTTTATTCAACCTCAAATACTATGTAACTACAAAACGCTCATTGTGAATGGGGTCTTATTGTACTCTGACGGCGGCCGCTGTCAGAATACCTGAACAGAGCCAGTTACTTATTGACTGCCGGCTCTGTTTGTTGAAAGATTTTCCTCAGCAGATCGAGAGATGCCGGCTGAAAGGGCGACGACAGCTGAACCCACTTCACTAATATCGGCCAGTTCATCAAGAACCCGGCTGATATTCGCAGTGTCTGGCCAGCATAAAGCAGAACTCTGGGCATGTAAAAACTTACCCCTGCAGTGGGGCTATCCCGGCATTGCAGGGGTAAAATAAGGAAGCTATACTCACATGATCCTCGGTCCGCAGCAGTGACCGCTCACCTCTCTCCCTCCCTACTCATCTGCGTCCTCATGCCCAGTGCAAGTCAATGGACGTGATGATATCGCTGATCCTTTGACCGCTGGAGCCCGGGGGAGAAGAGGCTGCAGGATCCGGTCTAGCAGCCAAGCGGATCTAAGTATTGGGTGAGTATATCTTTTTTATTTTACACCCTAGACCAAAACAAGCAAAACCCTTGCCGTGCGGGGGTAGCCCTAATGCAAGGGTTAATCCTCCCACAAACACGGCCAAGTTACCTTGGCCTATTACTTATGTAGTGAGCGCTGCCTTCCGTCTGCCCATCACTTCCACCAACCTCCCGGATTCCCAGTGTGCTTTGCGTCTCTTTCCCTGCTGCTTGATGTGATGTAATCTTCATTTCTCAAGACTACATATCCCATCATGCATTGCTCCCAGCAAGCAGTGATAATGTTACATTGTTCAGATGTTGAGTTGTGATTCAGACGGCAGGCTCTGTGAGAGTGGTGACACCAAGAAGTGCCTATTCACAGGGCTGGGTGAGATGGTGTCAGTGCATTGAGGATGTCCATCCTATGGGCACCTTCAATAAGTAAGTTTCCAAACTTCTAGATGGAGATGGTTATTAGGAGTGGGATAGAAGTTATGGAAATTCAATATTTAGTTCTTGACCTGAGATAACCTTTAAAAAAATGGACTGGGCCAGGTGGAAAATTAACAGTAAACAGTGACTGGGATGGGAGGGAGAGTCTGCATTGCACCCAGGATCCACTGAACTGCATTACTGGCTCAATGCAAAAAATAATAATAAATGTTTATTTTTTTCTTTTATGAAGAAGTCTGCATTCATTATTTTTTTATATTATACATATGATATATTATATTTATTAAAACATTTTTTCTACAAGGTGGAATTTACCTTTAAATGCCACTAATAGAAAACTCTATCTGTCTAAAAAAAATTATATCAAATTCATTTGTCCTGAGCACAATGAGGAATGATTCACCCGGATACACGAAGTAGCTGCAAAGATATGAACAGTCTTACTAACACATGGCAAAGTTGCAAAACCGGATTCAGGCGTTAAGATTTGTTTTATCTTCTGTCATTAAAGGGTTAAGATGGAATTAAAAGTACTAATGGAGGAAAAGAGAGTAGAGGATTTGTCCATAATGACCAATCAGAGTCCAGATTCTCCAGGTACTGGTTAGAGATGAGGCTTCTGGCAAATAAAGAAGGTTAAAGTGACACTGAACTCAGGAGTTAAATCCTTCAAAAGCATTCATGTACCTTAAAGGAGAACTATGAGGTGAGTGCTTTCCACTCACCTCATAGTTCTAGCCGACTTGTGACAATGAGACTGTCACAGGTCGGCTCAGTAGATCGGGAGGTGAGCGAACACATACCGGCGCTCGCTCACCTCCCGATCCTGTCACAGCTCTCGGCCGCGACAGAGGAGGGGCTGGATTCCCCGCTCTGATCCTCCAGCGCTGACTGGCGGAACGGACGGGTGAGGGGGCGGGTACAGCTGGCTCTGCCTATCTAGAGTCACTCACGCAGCTGGGCGGATCCAGACATAATTGTCAGGATCCGCTTCAGCTGGGCGTCTCAGTATACCGGGAGCTAAAGCTCGCGCTACACTGAGCTTAGGGTGACGGGAGGACGCTAGTTTGTGTCCTCCCGTTACCCTAAGGAGAATTATGGGGAAAAGCCTTAACCCCATAGTTCTCCTTTAACTATTAACAAAAATGTATCTTATTTGTGTATCACTCGGCTATAGATCCTCAAATCATCTCTGAATTGGTGCTGACACTGTCCTTCCTTCTGGAGGGGGGCTACTTTTGTTCCCCATGGTCCCTGTGTGTGTTGTAAAGTAGCCACCGCTCCAAGCTTACTCCCGTGATGGACTACAATCCCAAGTTTAGTTTAATAATTTGTAGTGAGACTTAGAAAGGTTGAGAACCACTGTCCTAAGGGTAACGGGAGGACACAAACTAGCATCCTCCCGTCACCCAAAGCTTAGTATATCATGAGCTACAGCTCACAGTATACTGAGACGGCGCAGCGGGGACGGATCCTGTCGAGATCCACCCAGCTGCGTGACTGACAGCTGGCTCTGCCTATCTAGAGGCAGACCCAACTGTACCCGCCCCCTCCCATGTCCGTTCCGCCAGTCAGCGCTGGAGGATTGGAGCGGGGAGGGGGGGAATACGTGCAGGGAGCCGTGAGTGACAGTCACGGCTCTCTGCATGGATAGATCGAGAAGTGAGCGAGCGACGGTATGTGTTCGCTCACTTCCCGATCTATTGAGCCGACCTGTGACAGTTTCATTGTCATAGGTCGGCTAGAACTTTGAGGCTTGAGTGATTTTCACTCGCCTCATAGTTCTCCTTTAATTCACAAGTTTAGAGTCACTTTATTAAGCAAGCATCTTGCGGCAGCTAGACCTCTGCTTAGTATAAAATAGGGGACAGGTTCACTTTAAGACAGAATAATCTGAATCTTGCATTTGTTCTAACGTGATGGGTTCTATTTAAAGTGGATCTCCAGCTTAATGGGGTTTTTTCTCTAATTTTGGACAGAGTGGTTATAAGGATTGTGAATTATTGTCAGGTATTTATTGCTGTCTGTGTCTGGATTTGTGTAGTTGGATACTATGCAGCGAGTACATAAACCTCCACTGCTGCTCTGCATTAGATAGAATACAAAAGGAATTCAATCTCGGAGATATAAATCGGATCTTCAGTTATATTCTCTGGCAGCAAATCCTGATCCTTTACATCTGCAGGAAAACCTGCAATCACTGGAGATATTGTTGTGTTTCATCATAGACATTTCCCTGTGTTCTATCGCTGGACATGTGATATGTGACATATTATACAAGGTCTGAGAATGAATACAAACTGCCTATTATAATGCAATGTTTTGTGCATGTGGAAAATAAGGATCATCACCAGCACACCTCAGTATAGTGATAATCTTGTCTTTCATTCACATAAACATGCATCACAAGCCAATGTATTAGGACTCCTCAGGATCCCTTTCTCAAGGCATTGTCAGCCCCTCTGCCTTGAGAAAGGGATCCTGGGGAGTCCTGAAATGTCGGCTTGTGATTTCTTTCTTTTTATGTGAATAAAGGAAATGATTATCATTATACTGAGGTGTGCTGGTGCCGATCCTTATATATATAAGTTTGTGTGTGGGGGTATTTTTTCATGTGTATGGGGGGGGGGGTATTATTTTATATGTACAGAGGTTGTATTTTTTTTATGTGTACGGGGGAGAGTAGAAGTGTATTAGGCTCCATACACACCTCTATCTTTAGGTGCAGTTAGGGATTCCTGTGTCAGGAACTTGAGTTTTCTTGCAGCAGAAATCCCTAAATTGGCGTTTACAAGTGACAGCTGTCACCTATTCAAGTTAATGATCAGGTGACAGCAGTTGCATGTGAATGCCTACACACCGCATGTAAAGATAAGTGTGATGATTACATTCGGTTAGGAATCAATCACTCTCCCTGGATGCAATGATTGTGCATCCAGGGAGAGTGTTTTTTAATCGCATGTAATCATATCACATATCATTACATGTGGTGTGCAGGCGTTTATATGCAACTGCTGCCACCTGATCATTAACTTGAATAGGTGACAGCTGTCACTTGTAAACGCCAGATTAGGGATTTCTGCTGCAGTAAAACGCAAGTTTTTGATGCAGGAATCCCTAATCACACCTAAACCTACAGATATGAATAGGACCTTATTGTGTGTATATTGGTGTCTGTAGTACCGAACCGTGTATAGATACATTTTATTTTAAAGTATGAAATTTGGCAAGCGGCCCCCATGGTAGAAAAAAATTTGACGAGTGGCCCCCGAGACGGAAGAGGCAGGGGCGAAGACGAAGGAGGCGGGGGGCAGAGATGCTGACGGAGGAGGCGGAAGGCGTCTCCTGAGCTCCAGTCGGGCGGCGTAGATGACAAGGAGGAGGATGTGTCGGGCACCGAGAATGAGGAGGCCGTCCATTTGGGCGCCGAGGACGAGGAGGCCATGTTCCAAAGAGGTCAGGCCGTGCAAGGTAAGAGGACTGTGCTGGCAGAGCCAAGCATAGATTCTGCACAGCCCACCAAATAGTCTCAGGTGTGCTGTGCAATACCCCTTGGTGGGCTCTGCAGGATCCATAGGGGGCTCTTCAGCCTGCAAAACCCACCACAGATCCTGCACAGCCCCCCTGAGATCCTGCAGACTGCAGGGTCTCTGCAGGATCTGGGGGGGGGGGCTTTGCCGGGTCTCAGGGGGACTTTGCAGGATCTGTGGTGGGCTTTTCAGGATCCATAGGGGGGCTCTGCAGCCTGCAAAGCCCCCCACAGATCCTGTAGAGACACCCTGAGATCCTGCAGGGGGGCTTTGAAGGATCTGTGGTGGGCTCTGCGGGGTCTATGGTGGGCTCTGCAGGGGCTCAGATGGGCTCTGCAGCCTGAGACCCTGCAGAGCCCACCAGAGTTCCTTCATAGCCCACCTGAAACCCTGCATACCTACCACAGATCCTGTAGAGCCCACCTGAGACCACAGCCGGGTGGGGTTTGGGGGGGGGACGGCGCCCACGTTTTGTCTTGCCTAGGGCAGCCCCAAACCAGAATACACCACTGACTGTAGCACCCGGCATGAACTGTGGACAAGCTGACGGTGTACAATGGATACACTACAACTTATCTTGCGTATGCGGTCCGCAAGACACTGTGCAGGGTCCACAACCAATACGTACTATGCTTCACACTGTACATGCCCTATGACATCTTCTGTATGTAGTCTGTTACACACCATGCAGTTATTGGTTCTGACAACCAATACAAGCTATGTGTCACACTGTATATGCCCTGTGACATCTAGTGTATGTGGTCTGTGACTTACTGGTCAGGATCTTTGACACAATGTACACAGTGGGTGACACCGGTCACAATCAGGTAAACACTCTTGGACTGTCACACATTACACTCATTAGGAACCTTAAAACATTTCTACAGATGTGTTTCTGTTTTGGGATTGTGTTCTTATTTTTCTGTTGTGTCGCTCATTTATTTTGTAACAATGAGAGATTTGTGTTCACTTGGGGAAATGTTCATCCATGAAAGCTCAGATGGAAGTTCATTGTAAGATATTGGGGGTTATAGTATATCTGCTCATGCTAAAAGAACCCAAAATGTTAGTGAAAAGAAATTCCCATCAACATTCAAAATTACAATTCACTCACGAGACAATTAGTATCAGTTAGAAATAATTTCTGACGTTCAATCTCATTTAGTCCCATAATAAAGAAATAAAGATGTCTTCGTTGCATGCTTGTTATTGAAGGTGGAATCTTGTTTTCTACTATAGTGTCTCACTGACCAAATATACAGGTCCGGAGTTTCACCTTTAATGATTCTACACTAATTCTTGATCAATAACTACGTGGTGAAGCAAGGATAAGGATGACAGTCCAAAAGCTAGCACTTTAAAAACAAGCATCAGCATCAGGGATTGTTGATCCCGGGAATATCCGATTGCCTTATGGCATCAGGAAGGAATTTATCTTCCCTGTTGGAGCAAATTGAACCATGCTTTATAGGGGATTTTTGCCTTCCTCTGGATCAACACGGGGTAACTGTGGGCATAGCGTTCTGTTTAGGCTTTTCTTCTTTTTTTCCCCTCTTATCTCTATAGGTTGAACTTGATGGACCTGTGTCTTTTTTCAACCTGACTAACTATGTAACTATGTAAGCAGACAATGGTAAGGTTGATATTTCCATCCTCAAGCGTTATCTGCCCTGAAGGTAATCAGCTCTATATATAAAGATCTTGCAACCCGTTAATTAATTCAATTAAGGGTCACCAGACCATACATTTTGATAAAACCTTTACAGCTATTATATATGCATTCGGCCTGTGTTTTTACCCAGATTATTTCCCTGTAGAAGCCTCCATTGTGTAGACATCCAAAAGCCTTGATGCTGCTTCTGGGAGCCACCATCTTGAATTTGATGTCAGCAGCCCGGGTGGGGTGTCACCAGGTCTCCGCTCAGGGTGACACCCGGCCTCGGACGCCCCTGCTCCCAAGCCTCTGCCCACATACTGTGTGTGTGTGTGATAAAGGGCTCTTGGGAGATGTAGTTCTGGAGGGTGTGGCTACATCAGTTGGAGTGCCCAACAGCTGCCCCTACTATGGTAATGGTAACTATCACAGTAAATACTAGCTTTTTCTCCCTACAAAAAAATAAATAAATAATGATGGGATATACCACAGTGCATGAACTATATTGGCAGTGCACTGATGTACACTTTAGTGCATTGCTGTGTGTTGTGCTTCACTGCAACATGCTTGCACATCCATCAGAAGTTCCAATTGGGTGCCATTCATTCTGAATAGCACCCTAACGGACCTTCTGGGTTGTGTCACTCTGCATTGCACATCCATTACCAGGTTCATTGGGGTGCCATTCAGGATACATTGCACTAAGGCACTTAATGAGCGTTGTCACATGCTACTGCACATAGATGATGTGAACAGTTGAATAAGGGTTGCATTCAAGATGAATGAAACATATTGCAGTAACGCATGTAAGGAACATGTAAATGGCTCCTAAAATGGTGGAGAAGCCCTAAAGTTTTTTTGTCATCGATCCTCTTCATTCATAGCCATGTCTCTGCATAAAGCCACATTCACGCTTCATTATTCCTGATGGTTGTCCACGTCATCCGGGTGCTGTGCATGTCTCTATAGAGAAGAGTAGTTTGAGGACAGCGTGTTCATTCTAGGATAGTGCCAGCTATCATTAACCAGAGGCGACAAATCATAATTAGACTGCAGATAATTACAGTCACTGCGCGGGCACAGACTGGCAGCCAGTGGTCAGGGAGCTTCCTGGGAATAATCCTGCCAGTATTGGTGTTTTGGTTTCAGTCTCTGCTATTCTTACAGCTTCCTTTTCACAAATAAGAACATTTCCACAGCAGAGCTTTATGGATTAAAGCTGAATAATATAATAATATATACCTATGTACTCTGTGTGTGCTGTAAACAGGAAGAATGATAATTGAGTGCCACTTGGAGCTGCGTCTGGACAATCCTGATATGGGAATATGTGACGTCTCTGGATTCCTTCCCCGGTGATTCTCCATTTTTTTTAACATAGATTAAACAATTTTTTTATAATACTTACCAATATTATAACTATCCTATCGAGAAGGAACAGGGGACTTTGTTCATGAAACGGGTGAATGATTTGACCAGTTCACGCGCTGCAGAACCTCCCTCTGTGTCCCAGCAGGGTTGCACAGTATCATTGGTTGCTAGGTCAGAGTCGGGCCCTGGCTTTAATTTGTGTGGGCATGCGCCAAATCTAGATCTCTGGCTGGGTTCAATAAACGTCCAAGCAAACCAAACCTCGGCCAGTTCACTCATCACTCGTTACAAGGACACATGATGTCTGGCAAGGTCAAACTTAGGATTTATTTTTTCTGTACTCGCAGAAACCATATTTAGCCTTAAAAAAAAAAAAGAAAACAAATGCAGCCACCAGATCTGAGGACCAGTACTCTGCAATGTATCACATTTTTGTTTCTTGGGTTTAGATGCACGTTAAACAATGTAGTCTAATTTTCTATTCTTTGCATAGTACTGCCACACAGAGAGTAGGGGCCCGTTCACACCGGGTCCATGCGTTAATCAGTAGGTTTAGTACCGTGTGTTCATTGCTGTGTGATTAATGTACAGACCTGGGGTGAACAGGCCCTAATGAGGGATAACTCATCTGCAGAAGGCTTCATGTGCACATTGAGAGAAGGGGAATCAATAGTTTTTTTGTGTGTATGGCTTGGTACATTTATAAAGTCAATTAGATAAATGTTGACCTGAGGCCCAAGTAACCATAAAAAGTAAATGGCTTGGAGTCTATGGTACAAAAATTATTAGCCAAATATGAAGAAACGACCTGTTGGACAGACTACAGACCACACTCCGTGCTAAGTGATGGATATTGATTTATAATGAAGCAGTTTTACACTTCCTATTACATAGTTGTATTGTACAAAAGAAGGATATATATATATGAAAACAACATGGTGGAC